TAAGTAGTTCTTGAAGCTCTTCTAACCATTGGGAAGTTCTTCAATGATCACAGCAACTTGGAATAACTCGTTCAACGACATCCCTTTAGCATAAATTTCATGCAAGATCACTTGGAACTCATGGACTTGGCTTATCACAATTTTTGAATCTACCATTTTAAAATCCAGGAACCGGCCAACAACAAATTTCTTTGCCCCAGCGTGCTCAGTCCTATATTTCTTGTTCAGAGATTCCCATAACTCCTTTATTGAGCTCTTGGCACAAAACACACTATAAAGTGAGTCTGTCAAACTGTTGAACACATAGTTTTGGCAAAGATAATGTGTCTACTTCCATGTGTCAAGTGCCATGACTTTCTACCTGTCTGGCTCATTCTCTGTCACGGCTAGAGGATCCTAGCTTAAAACCTTTGCAAGGTTCAGCGTGGCCAAGTAGAACATCATCTTTTGTTGCCTATCTCTTGAAGTTCACCCCAGCAAATTTCTCTAGGCGCTCATAGTGATTGAGCGGTCCTCTCGGAATAGTCGGAGTAACACCAGGGTTGATCACAGAGGTCACAGTTGCGGTTGGCAAGTCAGTTGCCCTGGGTTTCAGATCTCTACCAACATTAGCAGTAGCAGCATCATTGATGACAGTTGCCATTTCTAAAAAATACAACAGAATATCACTTTCTGTGTTTCCAGAAATTAAACTTAGCACTAGAAAATTCTACAGTTGAAAAGTTAATTCAAAATTAGTCTCACCACTAAATTTAGAATCGAACATGGTCAAGAATGTTCCCAGAAAGACTGGAGGGGGTCACATCGATCCCACTTAAAACCCAGTTAACCTTTTTGACAAAACTTTCAAGAGCATGTTGACTCCTAGTCCGTGAGAAACAATTTTTAGAATTACGTTTTCCAAGAGATGAACTAGGTTAAAACAAATCGAGGTTCAATACTTACAAGCAATTTAAAAATTACTAACCAAATTACAAGTAATGTAAAAAATTGGTACAAAGATTACAAGCAAATAAAACTTGATTTTACAAATTGGTAAACAAGCCAAATAAATCTCAAGCAAAAATTGCTTCAAATATTATACGAGTAAACCAATTTAAATTGAGGATTGTAAGTAGTCCAAATTTTTTTTTCCCTTTTCCTTGCACTCCCAAATTCTATTAATTTGGATTTGTATTGTTTCCATTCTCTTTCGCATAAGTATGTCTACAAAGAAGGTTAGTAGAAAACCACAACAAAATGCAAATAAATAATCTAAAGAAACTTGTAAAACTAATCAATTAATTTAATAGCAAAACTAATTATGCTAGACAAGTTATACAATTAAACTTATGACTCCCAAATAAATTACAAACTTTTGTAACTCTAAAAATTAAATTAAAAATTAATTTACAAGAGTTATAGAAAAATTATTATACCATTATCATATAAATAAATGTAGCCAAGTTACAAAAAATTTTAATAACTCCAAAATTAAATTTACAATTTAAGTTACACAATAAACATGTAAATAAATAGATAAGTTACAAAACCTTTTATAACTCCTAAATAATGACAATTTTAACAAACCAATAACCAATTAATTAAAGAGTAAACTACCAATAGGTCCTAACAGTTGGACTTAATTCCCATCAAGTCGTATTGAAAATAAATCTTGGTAAAATTATCACTAAAAATAATTTTTTGGTGACAATTTTTTACATACGTTGTTAAAAATTGATAATTAGTAATTTTTTTGTCATGATTTTTATAAATTGTCGCTAAAACTTATAATTAGTGACGTTTTTTCATGACAAATTTTTTTCTATAGGACCTATTAGACAATAAGTCTACTTATTAGGATCTACACGTAAATACCGCTTAATTAAACATGTGAATGTTTCTTGCAATTAACATATAAATCATTTTAAAAATAATATTATGCAAATAATTCTAGAAACTTTAAATCATGCAAATTATCCAACAAATCTAAGATCTAAACATGTGAAATAAACTAGTATAAAAAAAAAAACATATTAAATATGTTGATTAGACTAGAACCTAGACAACAATTGGCATGTCAATATTTAACTACAAAATGCCAACATTCATAATCTTGTAAAATTATAAACCTCATGCTTGACAAATATTGCATATATACAAAATTTCAATTTTTTTTTTTTTAATAACAAAATAGTTTATATCATGTATGAGATGGAACATAACACAGCAGAATTCATATTATATTGATTATAATCATGCACTTACTTATATAATAGTGGCCTATTACAACTAACCAAATTGAATTAATCTAATATGTAAATATATAATATGGTACAGGTGGTTTAGACCACACAAAGTGATAGCATGCAAATGTATTCCTACAGGTGGTCCCAGAACCATACATATAAAATTATAAATTCTATTTTGTATTTATATGTAATCTTCACACAAGCATACAATTCTAAGTCAAAGAATCTAAGTACTATTTTCCCATTTCTATTATTATAGATACACACAATACATATGAATCTAATTATCTAATTTCATGATAAATACAATTAATCTATTTTAAGATTGTTGTTCAAATTGTGTGATTAAACAAAATAAATAGATTCATGATTTATTAAATGAAATAATAAAACATCAAATAAAACCGTACTTGATAAATCACATTCTAGATCATGAAACATGAAACAAAATTAATAGAATTATATATTTAATTGAAATATGAAAACAAGGAATCAAACCAAATTCTGTGTGATATCACAGTGTCCTTAAAACAGATTAGCCGTCTCAGCGTGGGTGCTGGAGGAATGTCGACTTCTGTCTCCCAGGATAAGATGGTCTAAACCGGCTAACGCAGAAGTACCTTCTGTTAGCTTTGGTAAACCGAACATGGCAGCACTCTCTCACACAAGAAGAAAATTATATTAGTAAGCAAATTGACTATATGATTGGAATGCAAAAAATTATGTACCAAACCAAGGGAGATGAGTCTCCTCTTATACACAATAGGGGAGAGAGGAGGAGCCTACAACCATCAAGGCAGGCCATTATTCCTGCAAAACTGCTGGAGTAATTCACAAAACTGATGGGAATTCAAAGTGTGAGTTACACAAGATATACACGTGTATATACATTTCTACTTCAATAGACCTGACCCAAAAAGAATAGGTTGGTGTACCCAGGGCCGACCCTGAGAATTCAGGGCCCTAGGCGAGCTTCTAAGTTTGGGCCCCTTCCCTTGTACATACGCCCAAAAAATATATATATATTTGCTAGTGGCCACTCAAGTTTGCTTGAGTAAATTTGGGCCCTTTGTTTGTTTTTTCAATTGGACTAATTTTTTTATTTGTTTTTAATATAGGCCTGCAACATGTTTTTATTTGGGCCTTTTATAGCGGGCTGTTTTATTTTTGAGGGCTTCTATTTTAGTGGGTTGTTTTGTTTTTGAGGGCTTCTAACAATAATTGGACTTTATTTAAAACTTGATAGTATAATGGATCTTCAAAATTTGGAGCCCTATTTTGGGCCAAATTTTGGGAGCCCTAGGCACGGGCCAAATTTTGGGGGCCCTAGGCACAGGCCTTACTCGTCTTAGCCCAGGGCCGGCCCTGGGTGTACCACCAATCCGATCCAGTCCAACTCTAACCCATTCCAGCAAGCCTCAAGCCCAAGATCCATGATCCACGGACCCGGCCCGGTCCGGGCGGCGCGCGTGTGGCAATTTTACCATAACCAACTTGGACCATAGTCTTGGCCCAAGCCTATCGTTGAAGCATCCATGCCTCCCTTCTTTTAGAAAATTTGGATGCCCTAAAGGGCTCATGCCCTTCTCATAATCTTGAGGTTTAAATACCCATCAAAACTTTCCTCTACAATCAATGTGAGATTGAGAGTTATACACAATTCCCAATGCCTCATTTATGAGGCCAACTTTGTGAGACAGTTTCTCATTCAATTCTTAATGATTTTTTGTCATTCTTTTTGTAGTGTAAAGACCTTGTTACAAAGAATCTGAACCCATTTTATCCCACCTCAACCAATGGGTGAGGCCTATTTTAATTTCACATTAAAGTCACCAAAAAAAATTATTTTTTCCAACAGATATTTTACTCAATAGTATAAGAGGGTGGCAATTGTGAAGAAATCATTTTATGTTGATATTTTACTCAACAGTATAGGAGGTGGCAATTGGTGATTACTGCGATTGGTGGGCACAACAACTAGGGAGGATTTGAATTAGGGGTGCCCAAATATTGGGTTGGGTTTGGGTCATATTTGCACTACATAATTAAAGCATGCATTATTAGGCTTAATCTAACTATTTCAAGCCTTGACTCTAGAATTTTTAAATTCTAAATCCGTCCACTAAATCCAATCACCAATTGTCATCTCTTGTACGATTGAGTAAAATACCGACATAACAGTGTTTCATTTTACTATATAAATCAATCACATTAAAATAGATATAAATGACAAATATTATACAGGTATCCAAAAGCACATCGGTCCATTCATTCATTCCCCCTCCCCCTTTTTTTTCATATTCACATTGGACTTTCACACTATTCTCATTCATTGTTTTCTTTTCTTTCCGCTAGGAAGAATGAGCAAATATTCCAATTTGATTAATATATATCTATTCTATTATATGAAACAAAGGTGTGACTTGGTGTTTATGTCACAATTTTTGTCTATTACCTATTTATCCCTTATAACTACCTCTATATGCCTCACAAAAGCAATTATAAAAAGATATATAGAAAGATTTGCAAAGACCGACATACAAAGAGGGATATACAGCTGTACACTTCTAGTTAACCCACCATAACCTTTCCAGTTGTACACTTATGACTTACACTTCTAGTTAACTAAAAAGGTAAGGTTGGAATGTTAGGTTTTGAGGAGAAGTGTAGTTGCTTTTGTTTGAATGGCAGGTTTGATGATCAATATTGGTTGTTACATTATTATGTTAGACACAAAAGATAATGCTGAACTTCATGGCTAAGGAAACTGTCTAAACTCTTTGCAATTTTGACCTTATATGAGCCACCCAAGCCCCATTTTCATAAGCTTATTGAGGGATATATTACTATCTCAACAAGAAGATAGGATCCATAGTTCATACACTTAAAAAATATCCATTTGAGGTTCATTGTGTGGTGGTGGGAAGCAGAAGCATTGGCAATCTGAACAGTGTTGTAGCGGCAAAGAGAGCTAGCTGATCATGGGACCTGGTGGGCCGGGAGGAGGCCGTGGTGGAGGAGGAGGAGGCCGTGGTGGAGGACCTGGCGGATGGGGTGGTGGGCCAGGAGGAGGACCTGGCGGATGGGGTGGTGGACCAGGAGGACCTGGAGGTCCGGGATGGGGTGGCCCGGGAGGACCTGGGGGTCCAGGTTGGGGACCGGGAGGTCCTGGCTTCTACCCCGGGCCTGGTGGTTTCTTTGGTGGCTTTTGTAATGATTTATGCAACGTGGTATCTTCTTGGCAAGTGTCTTCCCATTTCTCGAATGTGATCAGCAAACTATATATTTTAGCCCCCTTTTTCATAATATTGATAATTATAATGTCATCACCAGATTAATACTAATTATCTTATATGATTCAGTTTATTTTTATTTATTTATTGGGATCTAAATATGCTATTTGGAAATTGCAGCTTATCATGTCTTTGCTGTTGCTGGTTGTTTCAAGGTTGTTTCGGTGGGCCCCGGCCCTTTGGGCCTCCTGGTGGTGGGCCACCTCCCTTCTGATGTGAGATTAAGGCCTTGTTTGGTTAATAAATAGTCCAATTTATGTTCTTTGGGCTTCTCTCAGTTTCTTCATATTTTTTGGCCATTTCTTTTCTTTTCTTTTCTTTTTCATATAATGATTAGAGCTTCTTCTTGTTTGGTGGTTTATTGTTAATAGAATGTAATTTTTTTTTATTAAGTTATTATTAAATGCCTTATCAGATCATTAGTGAATGGTTGTGATTAGCTTTCACACTCATTTTTATTTATTTTATTTTGAAACATGTTTGTTAACTTCATGGTGATGTTGCATGTACTTGCCTCCTTCACAAAAAAAAAAAAAAAATACAAAATACAAAAAAATACAAAAGTTGACTGTTCTCCACTTTTTTTTCTTTTTCCATTTTTGGGTCTGCAATTAAATGGGGCTGATGTATGACATAAAATTAATTATACATGATATATGAAATATATATATATATATATATTGAGAACAGATATATGATATTTGTTGTGTAATAAATAAATACATGTAAAAAAGTGAAATAAAAAAAAAAACCTGAAAAAGTTCATTCATTGACTTCATTTTTCATAATTGGATATGAAGTTGACATAAAATTGTTTCGTTTGTTTTTATTTTGTTTGGTTGCATAATTTTTATTTTGTTTAAATTTTTTTTTTTAATTTTTTGAGAACATGAAAAATATTTATATTAAAAACAACATACAAAAACAAGACCCCAAAAGGTTATACAAATCATACAATAAAAATATATATATATCAATTACGATTCACAAAAAATCACGGATCTTCTCAAAGATAGAGATATAGTTTGAAAAACAAAATTTGCATCAAATCAATCAAAATTGGCTTGAAAGTCCGTTGTCCTTGTCGTTACACTCACTATGACATGAGAGAAAGTTTAAGGCTTTATTTGGTGGAGTTTTGGAACGTTAGTTTCAATTTTTGAATTGCACACCGTGTTTATTTACAGTTTTTAGAAATTAATTTTACACTTACTTTAGAAAACTCTGTTTAAGGCTGAAAAATTTGGACTAACCGGTTGTCCGGTTGGTTGACCGAAACAGTGCATTATTATTATTATTATTATTATTATTATTATTATTATTATTTTTTGCAATTGACACATTAATTTTTATATATTTAATTAAAAATATTTTTTGAATTTTTTAAAAAAATTTATGAACTTTGAATAAAATTTTAAGTTGTGTGTTTGATTATGAGTTGTAAATTTTTGTATCAAATATAATATGTCACATCAAAAATTTCCCACTCAATTCAAACTCATTCACCAAACAAATTTTCTACATTCAAATCATAATTTCAAAGCTCACATATTCAAAATATAACTCTATTCTCAAATTATATTTAAAAAACTCTAGCAAACGGAACCTAGGTGTATTAACAAAAATAACTTCCATGAAAAGCTCCAAATTGACTTCGGTTTCAAATGAATTTGTTCTCCGAGTAAATATCTACAAGTAATTGCATGTGAAATCTGGGTATTAAAAAATATTTTACAAGCCATCCGCCAAACACTACAAAATGGAAAGGAATGTTTTTTTTGTGCATAAAATTGTTTCACGTGTAAAATATTTTACTTCGAAATAAACAGTCTTTGGATTGCTCATTTACTGAAATCAATATTTTAAGACCTTGAAGCCAATGAGCCGCAAAAATGATGACTCAATTGTTTCTATTATGGCAATACGAGATCTCTCACTTGGTTGATGATGATACCGTCTCAGAAATGACCAATGCACAGTGAGTGATCAAAGTGTGTATATGTGAGTGGTTTTTGCAAAACAAGTTGTAAAAGAGTTTTCTCCAATCAATGCATAACTAAAAATAGGTCTTTCTTTTTCTTTCTTTCTTTTTTTTATTTTAATTTTTTAATTTTTATTTTCGAGCGAAAGGTAAGATCTTCATTAATAAGAAAAATAAAGCACTCCAAGATCAGAAAAAAGAATAGGACTTATATAGCTCTAATTCCTAAAAACAAACCTCCGCAAACGGTGCATGATTATTGCCCTATTAGCTTGTGTAATGTGATTTATAAAGTTATCTCCAAGGTTCTGGCTAACAGGCTTAGATTGGTTCTTCCTGCTCTGATCCATCAATCTCAAAATGCTTTTGTTGTAGGGCGTTTGATTTCTGATAACATTTTGCTTGCTCATGAGCTGTTGGAATTTATTTGAACGCGGAAAATGGATAATAAATCTTTTTTTGCCTTAAAATTAGACATGAACAAGGCTTATGATAGGGTGAATTGGGAATTCCTTTGTCAGGTTCTTGATATTATGGGTTTTAGTGCTTATTGGATTCGACTCATCTCTCAATGCCTCTCAACAGTGTCCTTTTCGATCTTGGTAAACTCACAAAGTCTGATTGGTTTCAACTGACTTGTGGGTTGAGGTAGGGCGACCCGTTATCACCTTACTTGTTTTTAATAGTTGTTCCAACTCTGTCTTCGGGGTTTGATAATCTAGCTTCTCAACGGGTGTGTCGTGGGATTTCCATTTGTCAACGGGTGCCCTTGATTTCTCATCTTTTGTTTGTAGATGATTGTTTAATCTTTATGCCGTTTGTCATGGCTGAGGTTTGGTGTCTTAAATGGTTTCTGGAGGCCTTTTGTCACCAATCTGGGATACATATTAATTTTCAGAAATCAGAATTGTTTGTTAGTCCTAATATGTTGCCTTCACATGGCCAATTTCTTACGGATTGTTTGGGGATCAAGTTTGTTGCGAAGTTAGCCACCTATTTGAGAGCTTCGTTATATGTGGCACTACTAAAAAAACCACTTTTTGCGACCGCTATAAACCGTCGCAAATAATAAAAAACAGTCGCAAAAGACTTTTTGCGACGGCTCATGCGACGGCAAATGGGGGTCGCGAATGTGGGGGTGGCAAATACTTTTTGCGACCGCAAAATAGCAGTCGCAAACTATTTGCGACCGCCTAATCTACTTATCGCGACTAATATTTTGCCGTCGCAAAAAAATTAAAAAAATACCTACAATGTATTAGCGACCATCTTGTTACCGTCGCAAAAAAAATATAAATAAATAAAATACCTACAATGTTTTAGCAACCTATATTCTCATATATATATATATATATATATATCTACTTTAAGGAGATTCTCTATTTTGACTGCTTTACCTTAATATGAATTGCAAAAGAGTATTCAGACCATAGTTATAAATATCAGCCTAGACTAATACACTCAAGTATATTTATAGGAATGAAAATCAAGTATATTAATAGGAATGAAATTTGGAGGTTGTTTATAGGTTGTTTGTTTGTTCAGTTCTCAAATCCATTTATTGATTTGGGATTTGGGTTTTCCTTAGTGACTGTTAGAAGTAAAGTAAGCATCGAGTTCTGTACTTTGCCTTTTTGTTGTTGATAGATGGATTTGATTTTCTAACAAGGGTTTGAATCTCTTCTTTGTTTTGGTGTTTGGATGACACTAATGTTGTTTGTAAAAGGGATGACTTTGAGTTCTTCTTCTTTTCCCCCTTAATTCTCTTTTTGCCATGAATATTTTCTTCTCATGCTAATTGGTTGCACAGATTTAGTGTGGTGTGCTAATCAGCCACCACATTTGGTTCAGTGTCTAAATGCTTCATACTACAACTTCACAACTACATTGTAAGAGAGATATATATATAATAAAATAAAATTCAACATATTGGTAGCAAATATATAAGCTCTATAGTAGACTGTACATGGTATCAAATAAGGAGAACGCAATATTAAAACCACAGGCAAAATTCAACATGTGAAAAGCAACAAAATCAAAGTTCTAAATTACAATAAGAGGTCTAACAGAGCAAAGTTGGAGACTTAAGAATGGAAGATCACCCAACCTAGTCAACTTTATGACCTTTCTCATAACATTCAGCGTTTATAAGTACTCAATTTGCCAACAAAGGGTCAAAAAGAAGTAAAAGGCTATATTTTTTTTTTGATAAATAAAAAGGAAGCAGTAACTGTATTAGTAGGTTACATCATACGAATAACTGCCTCAGAAGTCTAATTGAGAGGATTGGGCTGGGAAAATTTCAGCTAATCTACATATCTTTATGCTGCTCATCAACTTCGCAGCATAAAAAGACACCACACAAATGAAAGGATACAATTGACAAGCAGTGTGGGGATTAAAAAAATTGATACTAGAATAATGGTAATACCTAGAACACTGAAATCAGTTTTTCCATGCCAGCAGTCCATGTTCTAAAGTTTCAAAGAATATTCAGAAGCTCAAAGTCCATAATCCAAAGAATTTGTGTCATTGCAACAAATAGTATGATATAAAAAGTAATATACAAAAAAATTTGCATAACATAGTTTTATGTCTAACTTTTAGCACTCGGTTCTCTTCTGAAAAAATTATTTCAATTTTCTTCTTTGCACTCGCTTCACAAGCACTACTGATTATGCCACTGAGACAACACTGCTGGGTATATGTAGAAAGACTGCCCCAACACAACACATAATGATTTTTGAATTAAAATCCAATTGTTTTTATATCATTATATTGACATGGTCCATGGATCCACTTTGCAGTAATTACAAAGATTGAATAGAACAAGCTCTAACAGCTTATTCTCTCTCACTTGTAAGCTAGTGTCATGTTGAAACTTAAACAGTGTAACACAGATGAAGGTACACATTTCTTGAAGTTGCAAATTTCATCCCACACATTATTGTCAACAGCCCTTGTGGCTGATTCATGCTGTTTACGCATAAAAACAATGATTAGAATAAAAATCATAATGACAAAATTAACAATAAGAACAATGAAGAAAGAGATGGTGACTGGACATCCCATGAGAATGAAATAAGGGATTCAACATAAAGCAACCAATTTGAGTCCAAAACAATAACAAGAGAGGTTGGGACTGGACATCCTATGAGAATGAAATAAGTCTATCTATTGCTTCAACACACAACCTATTTAAGTCCATTTTCTCCCACAAGCAGTTAAAGAGTAGTATTAAAATCATGCTAAAACTAATTTAAAATCCTACAACTCAGTTATAGATAGTGAGAAAACACGCATCGATTAGTTTGAAATGAAGGCATTGAGGTCGTTGTCTAACCTTAAATCAATGAAATAACTGTCAACATTAAGTCTCTCAGAAGTCCTTATACGCTAGCTGAGTTAGGTTTGGGCTTGACCTGTAATGACAGAAACGAGAGTTAAAAAAATATTAGATCTAGA